TTTGAATTATGGTATCATTTAGATCCTTTATCTTTTTAGTTATTTTTGTCTAGATGATCTGTCCAGAGGAGAGAGTGGGGTGTTGAGGTCTCCAACAATTAGTGTGTTGCAGTCTATCTCTCCTTTTAGATCTAACAGTTTTTCGTTCATGTATTTGGGTGCTCCTGTGTTAGGTGCATAAATATTTATAAGTGTTATATCTTCTTGATGGATTGACCCTTTTCCTACAATATAGTGCCCTTCTTTGTCTCTTTGAATAGTTTTTGTTTAAAGCCTATCTTGTCTGAAATTAGTATCATGACTCCAGCTCTTTTTTTGGTTCCGCTTTGTATGGAATACCTTTTCCCAGGCCTTCACTTTTAATCTATCTCTGCCTTTATCCATGAGATGAGTTTCTTGTAGGCAACATATAGAGGGTTTCTTTTCTTTCCTTTTTTTAAAATCCATTCAACCAGTCTGTGTCTCTTGATAGGAGAATTTAATCCGTTAATATTCAATTTTTTTATTATTTTATTTCAAGTTCTTTTATACATTCAATCACGTTATTTAGCTTGCAAAGTGAATATTTCCCACATGAGTACATTTCTCCCCAGTCCAGTTGATAAGACTATAAAGTTATCTTCAACAGATAATACCCCATTTCTTTGTACCATTAATGTTAAGCCTCTCTAGTTTTCTCCTTAATGTCCTTCCTGAGACTCTACTCTTTTACCCACCATCTTCCCACACTATATCTGGTATTCACAACCATGTACTGTGTTTCTATATCCTTTTTTAAAAAAACAAAACAAAACTCCACTTCCAAAATTAACATTTTTATTAAATCAAGGTAAAAAAAAGTTCATGGTAGGAAAGTCAACAAGAGTTTTAACAAAACCAAAATATAGCTTTTTATACAATATAAGTATATATTAGCAGCAAACTACTTCTGAGATTTTCTTTATGTTCTTTTAGTTATTATTTCAAAGAAAGCATAAACAGTGTAGATTAGTATGAAATGTCAACTAATCCATTCTTTTATTTTTATTTTATGTTTATTTATTTTACATGCTTTCACTGGACATCACCACAGCATACAAAATGCGATTTTCCAGCCAGAACACACTGTAAAGTGGCTTAAACATACATGTTGTCATCAACGAATAATTTTCTATTTCTTGTTTTTTATTTCTTGTTTTAGATCTCAGCTCTCATGGTGGACTCAGTCTTCATCTGGCCTGCCTTTTTCTGCCTAGATGGGAGGGGAGAAAGAGGAGAGGATTAGTACCAAGATAAAGGAAGATTTCAGAGTCATGAAAAAACTTTATCTTAAAAAAAAGAAAAAATAAAAGAAAATGAAGACAGAGACAGAAAGGCAGAAAGAGACAGAGAGAGACAGAGAAAAGGAGACAGGGGCTCTACCAGGGTAAATTCTCAGCAGAACATCTTCATTGCTCTTAGCTCTGAAATCACCAGATCTCAGCTCTCATGGCAGACTCAGTCTTCTTCTGGCCTGCCTTTTTTTGCCTAGATGGGAGGGGGAAAGGGGAAGGGATTAGTATCAAGATGAAGGAGGATTTCAGAGCCAAGAAGAAACTTTACCTTTTTACAGAAAGAAAAAAAAGAAAAAGAAAAGGCAGAGACAGAAAGGCGGAAAGAGACAGAGACAGACAGAGAGAAGGAGACAGGGGCTCTACCAGGGTAGATTCTCAGCAGAACATCTTCATTGCTCTTATCTCTGAAATCACCAGATCTCAGCTCTCATGGCAAACTCCCATAAGCAGTATCATACTTTATTTTATTTTTTAAATTTTTATTTACATTTTTTTAATACATTCAATTACATTATTTAGCTTACAAGGTGATCATTTAAAAAAATGAAAATTTCTCCCCGTTCTAGTTGATCAAAATATAGCAACACTACCTCCCTGTCTCAACAATGCTGTCTTTGTATCCCTCCTCCAAATGTTCTTCCCCAGGCCCCACTCCTCCACAGCAGTTTCATATTTTAAAACTCAATCACTTTCTCTGCTCCCATGATTTTTGCAGATAGTATAAGTATAGTTAAGTGTAAGAGAACATTATTTCCATGAGTCATTTTCAAATATGATATAGAATCCATTTTGTTCTCACCATGGAGATAATAAAAAATTTTTAAAAATTATCATCATAATCTTGTTTATATTACATTGAATCACATATAACTTTACAGTGTATTACATTTCTCCTTCCAGAAAGAATACCATTCATATCAGTCAATGCAAAGACATTAAAATCCCCATCATCATCCAATAGCTTTTCATTTTTTCCAGATTATTATTCTTCCAATTATTTTTTTAAACATTCAATCACTATTTATCAATTTGCTTGTAAAAAGACTTTACCCAACATGAAATACTTCTCATACCTGTCCAGTTGAGAATACTATACACGTCATCATCAACAGTAATAAACCATATCTGAATCCCACTAATGTCATGCCTCTCTATTTGTTCTCTTGCTATCCTTCTCCATACTTTTCTCTTCTCCTGCCCTGTTCCACATTGTCTTATCATTGGTGCCCTTTCTATCAAATGCCAGGGTTTTTTTTTTTTTTTTTTTTTTTCCTAATGGCTGAGTAGTATTCCATAGAGTTTATGTGTCACACTTTTTCAATCCATTCATCAGTTTGTGGGCATTTGGGTTGGTTCCATGTCTTAGCGATCATACAGTTGCAATAAACATTGATGTGCAAGCACTTTTCTGACTGAGTGTTCTCCTGTCCTTTGGGTAGATACCCAGAAGTGGGCTTGCTGTATCAAATGGTAATCCTATTTGTAGACATTTGAGGATCCTCCATATTGTTCTCCACAGTGTCTCAACCAGTTTACATTCCCACCAACAGTGTAGGAGAGTTCCCTTTTCACCACATCCCCGCCAACACATTCATCACTTTTTATTTTTTTAATCTTTGCCATTCTGACAGGGGTTAGGTGGTATCTCATTGGGGTTTTAATCTGCATCTCCCTTATGATGAACGATGTTGAATATTTCATCATATGCTTTTTGGCTGTTCATATGTCTTCCTTAGATTTTAATTCAGCTGATTTTCCCATCTTTTAATTGGGCTAATCATTTCTATTTTTTCACAAAGATGCTTGAGTTTCCTGTGTATTCTGGTTATCAGTCCCTTGTCTGAGGCATATTTTACAAAAATATTCTCCCATTCTGAGGGTTGGCGATTAACACTTGTTACTGTGTCCTTTGCTGTGCAGAAACTTCTTAGTCTAATACAGTCCCACTAGAATATTTTAGGGATTATTGTGTGAGCTTTGGGAGTCTTATATAATAAGTCTTTGCCTACCCCTATGTCTCTCGGAGTTTCCTCAGCATTTTCCACCAGTAGTTTTATGGTTTGAGGCCTGAGGTTCAGATCTTTGATCCATTTCAAGTTGACTTTTGTTAATGGTGAAAGATGGGGGGTTCAGTTTCATCTTTCTGCAGGTGGATACCCAGTTTTTCCAGCACCATTTACTAAAGAGGTTTTCCTTTTCCCAATGGATTGACTGGTATCCTTTGTCAAAAATCAGTTGGCTGTAAGCTTTGGGGGTTATTTCTGGGGTCTTTATTCTATTCCATTGGTCCACTTGTCAGTTTTTGTGCCAATACCATGCTGTTTTGATGACCACAGCTTTATCGTATATCTTGGCATCAAGGAGTGATATACCTCCTACTCCATTCTTCTTGTGCAGGATTGCTTTGGCAATACAAGGTCTTTTATGATTTCAGACACATTCTATGATTGTCTTTTCTAGATCTGTGAAGAATAACTCTGGAATTACATTAAATACATAGATCAATTTGGGTAGAATTGCCATTTTGATTATATTAATTCTTCTAATCCAGGAACATGGGATGCTCTTCCACTTTTTTTAATGCCACTTTCAATATCTTTTTAAAGATTTTCATAGTTTTCTTTGCAAAGTTCTTTGACTTCCTTAGTTAGGTTTATCCCTAGGTATCTTATACATTTTGTGGCTATGGTGAAAGGGATTCCTTTCTCCAGTTCTACTTTGTTCAACTTGTTGTTCATATATAGAAATGCTATAGATTTTTGGATGTTAATTTTGTATCTTTATTGTATTCACTTATTACTTTGAGAAGTTTTTTCATGGAGACCTTTGGGTCTTCTAAGTATACCATCATGTCATTTGCAAATGAAGATATTTTCAACTCTTCTTTGCCTATTTGAATGCTTTTTATATTGTTCTCTTTTCTGATTGCATTAGCTAAGATTTCCAATGCTATATTAAAAGGTAGTGGAGAAAGTGGGCAGCCTTGCCTAGTGCCAGTTTTTAGTGGAAAACCTTCCAGCTTTTCCCTATTCTGTATAATGTTAGCTGTAGGTTTTTCATAGATGGCCTTTATTGTGTTGAGAAATGATCCTTCTTTACTAATCTTACTGAGGGTCTTAATCATGAAAGGATGCTGAATTTTATCAAATGCTCTCTCTTCAATTGAAATGATCATATATTTAAAAAAATCTTTCTGTTAATATGGTGTATTACATTTATGGTCTTTTTTTTTTTTTTTTGAGAGGTTTTCGCTATAAGGTGCGTGCGCTTGCCAGACAGACAGAGAGAGACATAGAGACAGAAAGCGAGAAATCACCCCCCAGAGGGGATGGTCACACCGCAATCCCTTCTCCTCCATTCTCCTCTCGGGATCTTGGGCATGCACGCACATGCACCCGGTGTGAGTTTTAAGCCACCGGGTCTGGGACGCGAACCACGGTCGACTATGTGGGAGTCCAGCGACATAGCCATTATGCTAACTGCTGGTTCCCTATGGTCTTGCGTATGTTGAACCACCCTTGCATTCCTGGGATAATACCTACCTGGTCATGATAAATAATCTTTGTTATATGTTGTTGGATATGATTTACGAGTATCTTGTTGAGAATTTTTGCATCTATATTTACCAATGATATTGATCTGTAGTTCTCCTTTTTTTGTCCTGTCCTTATCTGTTTTGGGAATGAGAATGATGGAAGCTTCATAAAATGAATTTGGAAGGTTTCCTTCCTTTTGAATCTTCAGAAATAACTAGAGATAAAAGCAGCCGAAGCAAGATGAGTCAAAGTCAGAGTGGCGGTCATGGTCCTGGAGGTGGCAAGAAGGATGACAAGGACAAGAAAAAGAAGTATGAACCTCCTGTCCCAACTAGGGTCAGGGAAAAAAAAGAAGAAAATTAAGGGACCAGATGCTGCCCACGAACTGCCACTGGTGACACTTCACACACAGTGCCAGTTAAAATGATTGAAATTAGAGAGAATTAAAGACTACCTTCTCATGGAAGAACAATTTATTAGAAATCAGAAGCAGATGAAACCATTAGAAGAAAAGCAAGAGGAGGAAAGATCAAAGGTGGGTGATCCGAGGTGGACCCCGATGTTTGCAGGAGCCTTGGAAGAGATCATTGATGATAATCATGCAATAGTGTCTACATCTGTGGGCTCAGAACACTATGTCAACATTCTTTCATTTGTAGACAAGGATCTGTTGGAACCAGGCTGCTCGGTCCTGCTCAATCACATGTAGTGGTAGGGGAACTGATGGATGACATGAGTCCCTTGGTCACAGTGATGAAGGTGGAAAAGTCCCCACAGGAGACCTTTGCTAATATTGGGGGGCTGGACAACCAAATCCAGGAGATTAAGGAATCTGTGGAGCTTCCTCTCACCCATCCTGAATATTATAAAGAGATGGGTATAAAGCCCCCCCAGGGGGTCATTCTCTATGGTCCCCTGGCACAAGAAAAACCTTGTTAGCCAAAGCTGTTGCGAACCAAACTTCAGCCACTTTCTTGAGTGTTGTTGGCTCTGAACCGATTCAGAAGTACCTGGGTGATGGGCCCAAACTTGTCTGGGAATTCTTTCAAGTTGCTGAAGAGCATGCACCATTCATTGTGTTTATTGATGAAATTGATACCATTGCATGCACCATTCATTGTGTTTATTGATGAAACTGATACCATTGGGACAAAAAGATATGACTCAAATTCTGGTGGTGAAAGTAATTCAGTGAACAATATTGGAACTGTTGAACCAGCGGGAAGGATTTGATTCAAGGGGAGATGTGAAAGTTATTATGGCCACAAACTGAGTAGAGTCTTTGGATCCAGTACTTATTTGACCAGGCCGCACTGACAGGAAGATTGAGTTCCCCTTGCCCGATGAAAAGACCAAGAAGCGCATATTTCAGCTTCACACAAGCAGATGACGCTGGCCGATGATGTAACCCTGGATGACCTGATCATGGCTAAGGATGACCTGTCTGGTGCCGACATCAAGGCAGTTTGTACAGAAGCTGGTCTGATGGCCTTGAGAGAACGGAGAATGAAAGTAACAAATGAAGACTTCAAAAAGTCTAAAGAAAATATTCTTTATTAAAAAGAAGAAGGCACTCCTGAGGGGCTCTATCTCTAGTGAACTGCCATCGCTTCAGGAAAGTGGTTGGCAGTTTTCTTGAGGTCGGAAACAAGGTTGGGAATGTGCCCAGAAGAATCCATGTTCCGACTGCTTTTTACTACAAACCTCCCATGTGTCTGCTGGAGTGTGACGTGGAGGGTGCCCACTGAGCAGTCTTCGTCTGCTGGTCAGTGTGCAGCACTATGCTTCCCAGTAAAGTGTGCTCTTTCGAACAAACAGGCATGACATTAATGGGACACAGATATGGCTTATTCTCTGTTGATGATGACGTGTATAGTATTCTCAACTGGATTGGTCTGTGAAGTATTTCATGACTGGTAAACTCTTTTTACAAGCAAAATGAGAAATAGTGGTTGACTGTTTAAAAAAATAATTGGAATAATAATAATGATGATGATGAGGAGGAGGAAAAACAATGAAAAGCTATTGGATGATGAAATGGTGATTTTAATGTCGGTATTGACTGATATGCATGGTATTCCTTCTTGAAAAAGAAATGTAATACATTGTAAAGTTGTATGTGATTCAATGTAATATAAACAAGATTATGATGATAATAAATTTTTAAAAATATCATGTGTGCCAGATTAGAATGAAGCAGCCTGGGTCCTTGACTTCACAGAGCTTCACTGTTAGTCTTAAGTTGACTAACGTATGTCTTGTTTTACTTGTTAGTGGGGTGGGAATCTCTGGGTATTAAAGGCATAGTTGGATCTCGACTATCAGCAGATCTGTTGATGAGGATGTGTATAATAGTCTCAACTGGGCTGGACTGAGGTATAAATCATGCTGGGCAAAGTCTCTTCACAATCTAAATGATGTATAGTGATGTTTTTTGAAACCGGTAAGTAGGAAAGTTTATTTATAAAAATTTGAATATTGAAGCTATTTTGTATTTATTTGTTCATTATTTACATTTTTAAGTTTCATTTTCATTTATACATTCAATCACATTATTTAGCTTACAAAGTGACTATTTCAACAGATGAACATTTCTCCCTAGTCTAGTTGATAAAATTATAAAATATCTTCAACAGATAATACCACATTTCTTTTCTTTTTTCTTTCTTTCTTTCTTTCTTCTTTTTTTTTTTTTTTAGGGGTTTTTGCTTTAGGGCATGTGCCCTCGGCAGAAA